GAAAGAATCTTGCCATTCACCCTTTAGTTCAAAGGGTTCTTGTCTTTGATAATGATCCTTCCAATAGGCTTCATAAGTTGGTCTCCTCATTTGGTAAAATCCCCCTAAAAGAAAACACTAACATAGTGCAGTACCTTCTTAAATTATAAACATCTCTCTATAAAAACTCAAATTCAATAATTATCCAAATCACCAAAAGTCTATTTTCATCCACCAAGTGTACACCACACCTTGCCCTTCAGATCATGCACCTTACCCGAGTATGCACAAATATGCATATATGGATTCTATGGTCTGCTCTATATCTTCATATAGCAGACATCATCCCGCACTCACAATGCAATGAACGGGCCTGCAGGTCCAAAATATAGCTGAAATTCACTGGGCAGAGAGTGAGAGCCAAGTCGCTCTACCTGCAATGGAAAACCTTCTAACCAGGGGTGGACTGACAACTCATGGGGCCCCTGGGCAATAGGGGATCATGGGGCCCCTGTGTCCTTGCCCAAACTCAAAAAAGCCTATGAAAAAGGTACCAGGGGCATCTCATGGGGCCCCCTACTGACCCCGGGCCCTCGGGCAGTGCCCGAGTTTCCAAATGGTCAGTCCGCCCCTGCTTCTAACCTGTACTTTTTCTACCTATCAGGTTCCCTAATGCTGATTCTACACTCTCCCTACCAAGCAGGACACGTTCCCTTACCTACTCCCACACTGCAGATGCACTGAATGACAAAGGGAATGCTATTTAGACACATTTTTGTCAAAGATGGGCATCCAAGTCTTGTAGAATTTTGGCATCCAATAGGCGATTCCAGCTCCTCCAAGATGGCTGCCCAGATCCTATGATAAGGTACAACCTAGTCTCCAGTAGGTTCCTGACAGCCTGAAAGAAGCTGCACATTGCTCTCTTGAGGTTGATGGACATACCGCAGCAATGGACCTGCCTAAATGTCAACAGTTCCTGTCACCCACTTATAAGTCTTGAAGAAGGAGACATAGACCCCACCCCAAAACACACTGGTTTCTTGTAAATCTTAACTAAACATATTCAGTTCTTTAAAGTTGGGTTCACACTGTTGAGCTGTGGCATTACCACTAGAGATGAGCGAATTATTCAAAAATTTGATTCGGCTGATTCGGCGAATTCGCGGAATAAATTCGATTCGAGTCGAATATATTTGCTACGAATTTAACTTATAAAAAAGGGTGTTTCTAGGCTTCAGAGAGCCTTTATATTAGTGCAGAACACTGTACCTTTAATTTAAATGCCCTTGGAGTCTGCTGGGGAAGAGAAATAATACGTCAGTCAGTATGACATGCAGATGAGTGCCGTCGATCTTAGAATCACCGCACACTTCACTCATTTGAGCAGTCACGGGGCCAAAACCAGAGTGTGGAGCCACAGTGTGGCGGTGGAGGCAGCAGCAATGGGAGGCCATACAGCACCCTATGAAAAAATGGAACCCACCAGCAGTGTGAGGAGACCTGAAAGTGGCACATGGCAGAGTGTGGCGATGGAGACAGCAGCAATGGGAGGCTGTACAGGGACCCATGACACACTCTGGACCTGGCAGCAGCATGAGGAGGCGGTACAGGGGCCCATGACAGATTACGGGCCTGGCAGCAGCATGAGGATTCGGTACGGGGGCCCATGGCAGATTACGGGCCTGGCAGCAGCAATGGGAGGCCATACAGCACCCTATAACAAAATGGAACCCACCAGCAGTGTGAGGAGACCTGAAAGTGGCACATGGCAGAGTGTGGCGATGGAGACAGCAGCAATGGGAGGCCGTACAGGGACCCATGACACACTCTGGACCTGGCAGCAGCATGAGGAGGCGGTACAGGGGCCCATGACAGATTACGGGCCTGGCAGCAGCATGAGGAGTCGGTACGGGGGCCCATGGCAGATTACAGGCCTGGCAGCAGCAATGGGAGGCCGTACAGGGACCCATGACACACTCTGGACCTGGCAGCAGCATGAGAGGAGGCGGTACAGGGGCCATGACAGATTACGGGCCTGGCAGCAGCATGAGGAGTCGGTACGGGGGCCCATGGCAGATTACGGGCCTGGCAGCAGCAATGGGAGGCCGTACAGGGACCCATGACACACTCTGGACCTGGCAGCAGCATGAGGAGGCGGTACAGGGGCCCATGACAGATTACGGGCCTGGCAGCAGCATGAGTCGGTACGGGGCCCATGGCAGATTACGGGCCTGGCAGCAGCAATGGGAGGCCCGTAATCTGCCAGCACCCTATGACAAAATGGAACCCACCAGCAGTGTGAGGAGACCTGAAAGTGGCACATGGCAGAGTGTGGCGATGGAGACAGCAGCAATGGGAGGCCGTACAGGGACCCTGACACACTCTGGACCTGGCAGCAGCATGAGGAGGCGGTACAGGGGCCCATGACAGATTACGGGCCTGGCAGCAGCATGAGGAGTCGGTACGGGGGCCCATGGCAGATTACGGGCCTGGCAGCAGCAATGGGAGGCCCGTAATCTGCCAGCACCCTATGACAAAATGGAACCCACCAGCAGTGTGAGGAGACCTGAAAGTGGCACATGGCAGAGTGTGGCGATGGAGAAAGCAGCAATGAGAGGCCGTACAGGGACCCATGACACACTCTGGACCTGGCAGCAGCATGAGGAGGCGGTACAGGGGCCCATGACAGATTACGGGCCTGGCAGCAGCATGAGGAGTCGGTACGGGGGCCCATGGCAGATTACGGGCCTGGCAGATGACGACGAGGCTGCCAAGTGCGATCAGCCTCGTCATCATCAATTAGGGTCTCCGCCTCACTACTAGCCCCCTCGGCTGCGTGTGGGTCAGGAGACAGACCTGTCTCTAGACCGACTACCGAGCCACTCTCCTCGCCAGTACTTCTTCACCTGGCTGCTGAAGAGGCGGATGTCTCCCCCCGTTCCTGACCGCCCTCTGTTAGCTCTTCCTCACTGTACAGTGGGGCTGAGCCCACAGCATGCGATATTTCGCTTGGTGAGGGAACACCAAAGGACAGGGGCAGGTAGAGGACACGTGATTTCAGTGGGCTTGCTCCCGGGCCATGCCAACTAACGGTTGTGTCTGACGTACCCACCAACCGTTGGCTGTAGGTGTCAGAGGTGACCTGGGAAGAGGAAGACGACCGAGCCAACCAATCGATGACGGCAGGGTTGTCGGTGGAGACACGACCGCTGGATGACACTGGGAGCACTGGCCTCTGGCTGTGACTAGTGCTGCCTCGACCCCTTCCTCTGCTGCCACGTCTGCTCGCTCCTGAAACATTGCCTCCTCTGCCACTCCTCTGCGTGTTGTCTGACATACTCTTTAATTCAACGATTCTGTGTCCCTGAGTAACGATTCTGTGTCCCTGAGTAACGATTCTGTGTCCCTGAGTAACGATTCTGTGTCCCTCAGTAACGATTCTGTGTCCCTCAGTAACTATTCTGTGTCCCTGAGTAACGATTCTGTGTCCCTGAGTAACGATTCTGTGTCCCTGAGTAACGATTCTGTGTCCCTGAGTAACGATTCTGTGTCCCTGAGTAACGATTCTGTGTCCCTCAGTAACGATTCTGTGTCCCTCAGTAACGATTCTGTGTCCCTGAGTAACGATTCTGTGTCCCTCAGTAACGATTCTGTGTCCCTCAGTAACGATTCTGTGTCCCTGAGTAACGATTCTGTGTCCCTCAGTAACGATTCTGTGTCCCTGAGTAACGATTCTGTGTCCCTGAGTAACAATTCTGTGTCCCTGAGTAACGATTCTGTGTCCCTCAGTAACGATTCTGTGTCCCTGAGTAACAATTCTGTGTCCCTCAGTAACGATTCTGTGTCCCTGAGTAACGATTCTGTGTCCCTGAGTAACAATTCTGTGTCCCTGAGTAACGATTCTGTGTCCCTCAGTAACGATTCTGTGTCCTTGAGTAACAATTCTGTGTCCCTGAGTAACAATTCTGTGTCCCTGAGTAACGATTCTGTGTCCCTCAGTAACAATTCTGTGTCCCTGAGTAACAATTCTGTGTCCCTGAGTAACGATTCTGTGTCCCTGAGTAACAATTCTGTGTCCCTGAGTAACAATTCTGTGTCTGTCCCTGAGTAACAATTCTGTGTCCCTGAGTAACAATTCTGTGTCCCTCCAGTAACGATTCTGTGTCCCTGAGTAACAATTCTGTGTCCCTGAGTAACAATTCTGTGTCTGTCCCTGAGTAACAATTCTGTGTCCCTGAGTAACAATTCTGTGTCCCTGAGTAACCATTCTGTGTCCCTCAGTAACGATTCTGTGTCCCTCAGTAACAATTCTGTGTCCCTGAGTAACAATTCTGTGTCCCTGAGTAACAATTCTGTGTGCCTGAGTAACGATTCTGTGTCCCTGAGTAACGATTCTGTGTCCCTGAGTAACGATTCTGTGTCCCTGAGTAACAATTCTGTGTCCCTCAGTAACAATTCTGTGTCCCTGAGTAACGATTCTGTGTCCCTGAGTAACAATTCTGTGTTCCTGAGTAACAATTCTGTGTCCCTGAGTAACGATTCTGTGTCCCTAAGTAACGATTCTGTGTCCCTAAGTAACGATTCTGTGGCCCTAAAGTCTCTCTGGCCCTAACTCTGTCCCTAATACAGACAGGTCTGTCTCTCTTGAATGACCGGAGGCTAATGGAGAATTGTAAGATGGCCGCAATTTATAGCTCCACCATTACACAGTGCTGGCTGGCTGGCTGCTGATTGGCTAATGCGATCACATGTCATGAATGAATGCATTATGGGTCAGCGCGTCTTGTCTGCGCGCCTTCCCAGAGATCCCCGCGTCTCCGTCGCCCACACATGTCGCCGCCATTTTTGGGGAAAATTCGATTCGTGCATCCGAAGTTTGCTAATTTTCGGATTCGGCGCGAATCGAATTTTTCCTGATCTTCGAAACGAATTCCACTTCGCCATGTTCGATTCGCTCATCTCTAATTACCACAACTCATTTTGCATATTGGTGTACTGCATGAGTGCCATTCATTCCAAACTGCACCCCAATGCACCTTGCCAATGGATGTAAATAATTCAAGAAATACAATAAATAAACAAAGGAATAAATGTTATACTAATTTCCTCAAAAAATAAATGGCTAAATGTCACATCAATAATAATAACCAATAATCATTCATAGGCATTGCTAATACTAAATAAAGTAAAAACAAGCAGCAGCAACAGAATGGATTCAATCTGTGATAAATGACATCTGCCGTAAACATTTTTTCAGTCCTAAGTAGCTCTATTTGGCAGCAGTACAATGTTAGAAGCTTGTTGAAAGCAGGCTTTTGTGGTGACTAGTCTTTTCAATGTTGTGATAATGTACACCTCAGGGTTTTACAATCCTTAGCCGAGCAGTGGACCAGGAAGGAAAGCAATTTTCAAAAGAAGAGATACAGAAGACAGCATTGTAAAATCCGTGAGCCAGGTGCCCCCAGCAAGTGAGGATAAGCACCATTATAATGACACTCTGGGACGAAGAAATAGATTTCGATTGCTTTTATAACCTACTCTTGTAACTCGGTTGTTAGACTGTATGTAAGGCTCACCGGGTATGTGGTTTTTTTATGGTTGCTCACTGAAATGCTTCATCAGATGTTTAATTTTTAATTATATAACTAAATGGTATGCTGCAATATTAAGCACAACTCCAGTCAAACAGCTAAATACGTTTTTATTTCTGTGCTCTTTGTAGGAAATGTTTCAATTGCCAAAAGATTTGTGAAGTAATGCACACATTCTTACATCTTTTGTGATGTAAAGCTGCATATTACCAGAAGGGGAAGAACCCACATATTTCAAACCCTTAAACTCTGCAGATTCTGATCTCTATTCTAAGAAACAGACACTTGACATTATCCATGCTCTGTGCCTTTAAGAGAGAGTCCACCAATAATCCAAAGATAAAGTCCCATATCTTGAATCAAAAGTACCACGCTTTGATCTTTGCAGCTATCCCAGCGCAAGGGAATGCACTGAGCTTAAATACAAGAAAAGAGAAAAACCAATGAAGTGCACAATCTGGTTCAGTTAGACACTTTAATCACTTGAGGCCCAGGCCAATTCTGATATTCTTCAGCATTTTTTGCTAGAAAATTACTTACAATCCCCAAACATTATATATTTTTAATCAGATACCCCAGAGAATAAAATGGTGGGTGTTACAATTTTTTTTATATCACTCGGTATTTGTGCACTGGTTTTTTTAAACACAATATTTTTGGAAAAAATACACTTTTCATTTTAGTGTACATAAACACATAATAATATCCACTTTTCTGGTAAAATATAAAAGATTATGTTACGCTGAGTAAATGGATACCAAACATGTCACTGTTCAAAATTGTACAGGCCTGTGGAACGGCAACAAACTACTGTACATTAAATTATACATGGGCGTCACTTTAAAGTCTTTACAGCTTGCCACATTTACACAAGAGGTCTGGTGCTAGAATTATTGTTTTCACTGTGATGTGTGCAAGGAAGGATAGGGGTGCGTTCAAATTTTTGTATGTATTTATTCATTCTTTACACTGTACCTTTACATTTTTTCTAATCACTTATATTGCTATCACAAGGGATGAACAACATCCCTTGTGATGGCATGAACCATGACAAATCCTCTTTATGCAGAGATCTGGGGCTTTGAAACCCGAGATCTCTCCTCTGGCTTCCAGCAGCAGCACCAATTAGCTTCCATATTTTTTTTATCAAAGCCTAATTAATGCTGGAGTTAGATGCTGGATACCATTCACAACTGCACCAGATTTTGCACACTCCATTGTCAGTAAATCAACACCCATGGGTGGTTGTGCAGGAGAGCCAATGACTCCTAACGAAATCCATTCCATTTTGTGCTGACAGGCTGGGGAAAGCAAGGAACTCCTCAAGTCTCTTGAGTTGAAAAGGAGAGCCCTCCCCTGAGTGCAGTTCAGTTGGATTTCATTTTATTAAAGTGTTAACTGTACTAAATTGTGCGCTTCCCTAAGTTTTCTCTTTCCTTGTATTTTGATTCCCATTCTTACTGCTCTCTGATCTTACATGTGAATATCACCAAACTCTGGGGATGCAAACCCTGGATCCTCTCCACCTGTAAGGTCTATTTCACATTTGTGCAGTATAACACATGTCCTATATATACAATACCATATGACAATGCACTGCAACTGAAATCCATTCTAATCTTTCTGCCATATTAATTGGTGGGAAGTCGGTTGCAGTGGAATTTTTTTTTATCATAGTAAAAAATGCTACAAGATCCAAATGAATAAATGTCGGACTAATAAAAGCTAAAATGGCAAAATAAAAAACTACTGGGAATTAAATTTTTTTTTGGCAGAAAAGACATAGACAATATCTTTTGCCAAATAGCTTTTTTCCTTTGACTTCTTGAGTTTTTCAGGTTCTATGTACAGATATGCTGTGCATTGTACTGGGTTGACACACTCCCAGTATGAAGCCAAATATTCAAAACATTGCAAATCCTGTGTGCATGTATAGAAGTTACATGATCACTTGCTACTGAAGACTTTATCTTGGGTCTTTGTCTAGGCCAGTAACCCCCAGAAACAAGGTAATGTCAAACTTGAAAAAGACTATTAAACCCCAGTAAGACCTTTTTCTCAAGGGATAAGCAGGCCTTTATAGAGGAAGGACAGGCTGAGACACCCATGAGTTCCAGGCAATAATGGCTTCCTAGCACAAAAGGGATCTCTTTTTTGAGGGAAATAATGCTTATTAAATACTGACGGTGATAAGGACTGGGATATGTGGCAGCCAAGTTCCCCATTTTACATGAGCCTATACAATGTGACCTGCGGAAGGTGAATGTTGTTATTTACCAAGCCTGTCCTGGCTTCACATCTAGAAGCTGTGACTGTAAGGCAAATATGTCCGATTACTATAGAAAGAGCCTCAGTGAAGGCATTGTTAGACACCAAAAGCCTAGTTACTGTGTTCCTTACCAGTCAGGAGAACCCTGTCTAGCTTGGCTTAGACTGAAATTAAGTACTTTATATACATGGGAAAGCTAAGGAGTTTCTTACTACAGTGCTCTTGGTGGAGACAGTGGAGTTGAAAAGCATGGCATTAAAAACCTGCTACACAATGTAATACTAGACTTTGAATGATTTTTCTCTGTTTTACGAACTGTGGGAATAAAAAATGGTAACCAATTCTAGAAATGTGTCTGAAATAAATGGTCATACTATTTTTCCTGAACTTGAAGGGGATGTTGGCAGCTCGATGCCAGAGACCATTAACAACTACTGGTGAATTGAGCAGTTTTTCTTGCTCCATATTTACAAAGCCATTCAAGACTATTGTAAGTCATCTTCTGAGTGTCAAATTATTGCACCCAAACCATGTTTTCAAAGTCCGCTAATACCGTTGCCTAGAAATTGCGGTCTCTTTCAAAAAGGTTGCTATGAAACTGGTAAAGCCACTGAAGAAGTCCGCCAGTAGGCACCAACACATATTGGTAGTCCTTGACTACGCCACCTGGCATCCAGAAGCAATCCTTTTCAGAAACATGTCCTTTAAGGTTTTAGTGAAAGGGCTGTTCACATTTTTTCCTATACAGGTATCCCTAAAGAAATTTTTCAGGAAACCCCTTTCATGCTAAAGGTAACGAAAGAGCTGTGCCGATTGTTGAAAATTACTCACCTAAACACTTCGGTGTACCATCCCAAAAATTATGGTTTGATAGAATGGATCTATAGAACCCTGGATGGTATACTAAAAAAAGTGGATGATAAGGATGGAAAAAGGGACTTCCTCTTACCATATTTAAAAGTTTTCATTCACGGAAGTGCTACAGTACTATACAGGGTTTTCCTTGTTTAAACTTTTGTACTGTATGATAGTTGTCCCCTGGGACTGCTGGATATAGCCCTGGAAATATGGGAGCAAGAGGCCATACTTTACAAGAGTTTAATCAAACATGTTGCTAAAATGTAGGATGAAATAGCAGCTGTTATGCTTAGATTAGCTTGTAACTGAATGCTCAAGTCCTAAAATGTCATACACTCACCGGCCACTTTATTAGGTACACCTATTCAATTGCTTGGTAACACAAATTGCTAATCAGCCAATCACATAGCAGCAACTCATTGCATTCAGGCATGTAGATGTGGTGAAGACGACTTGCTGAAGTTCAAACCGAGCATCATAATGGGGAAGAAAGAGAATTTAAGTGACTTTAAACTTGGCATGGTTGTTGATGCTAGATGGGCTGGTCTAAGTATTTCAAAAACAGCTGATCTACTTGTATTTTCACGCACAACCATCTCTAGGGCTTATAGAGAATGGTCCGGAAAAGAGAAAATATCCAGTGAGTGGTAGTTGTGTGGAGGAAAATGTCTTGTTGATGTCAGAGGTCAGAGGAGAATGGGCGAACTGGTTTGCTGCGAAATCGATGGCAGTGTCAGAACGTGGTGTAAACAACATGAAAGCATGGATCCATCCTGTCTTGTATCAAAGGTTCAGGCTGGTGATGGTGTAATGGTGTGGTGGATATTTTCTTGTCACTAGCAAGGTGTACCTAATAATGTGGCCAGTCAGTGTATGTTCAGCACCATGGTAACTGAAAATCTAAATAGAGGCTAAGATGTCACTCTTGCTGGTGGATAAGAGGATGGGGGAGTTTGGTTACACTTTTATGTCGGGTACTCATGGGCCGGCTGACTTTCGGCCTGTGTGTACAGCCCCCTGTTTGACAGAAGCCGGTTTTACAACCGACTTCTGTAGAATGGGCATGCAGGAAAACCAGTATCGGATCGACATTTGATCCGCGCTCTCAGTCAATGGCTGCGAGTGCTGACCGGTGTGATCCTATGCGGGAGAACACAGTACTAACATCGCTTGTATTGGTACAGTGATCTGTCAGTTTCTTATTTTTTTTCGTTCAGCCCTCTGGGTTGAACAAAAAAAAAAACTTATAGTGTGTACCAGGTCTAAGAGAGATCTTGCAGGCACAACTGCCAACAAGGTAAATGCTTAGTAAATCAGGCTGTTTA